AAAAAAGTCAGCATATGACAGTTGCCCATGCCATGAGAGCCAGCCACAGAACCAAAACAATCTGCCAGCTTTCGCCGCCCACAGCATCGATATGATTTTACATTGCATAGAAATGAACGCTTAATGCAACTATCCCGGTCAACAATCGAATCATCAATCTTCATGAGTGATGTAACTGGTATTTCCACCTATTTGCTTTGTTGTCCGTAAGTGAATGTTGTAAAGTTAGAGAGTGTGTTTAACGTACAGTGACGTGAACATTATTGCTACAATTTTGGGCTTGAAGATGTTCTATATTCATCCAAAAAAACAACGAACCTGAAATTAACCGTCCGATCTAAACGACCTGCGTCTATGAAAATCTTGCATTTCCGATCGAGAGAAGGTCGGGCCAATCTACCAGGATTGTTTGCTTATCATCAATTCATAAAGGTCAAAAACGTTTTTAAACGTGAATTTAACGACGAACATTTTTGAAACTAATCAATGTTCTGGTTATCTCTGGTGCGACTGCAGTCTTTGGAACAAATTTGAGGGACTCTAAAACGCAATTTATGGTACGCGACTTAAAAACGCAATTTAATGCACGTGAATTTCCCCACAAAGGTTTAAATGTTTTAGTTGTCTGTGGTGTAGCACTGGTGTGGAAAGCTGTCGAATAAAATGGCGACAACCTTCAAACGCATTGTTATGCTAATTTGATTTCCGGCATGTTAGTTGAATAAGAAATGAAAGATTTCTTGAATTTTCTCAGCGATAGCTATGTAAATTCGAACCAAAATGTTAATGGCAAGACTCAGAATGCGACAGTGACAGCCACTGAAATGTAATTGAAGGCAAATGAACACGTCAAGCAAAAAAGTCTTTTTCCAGTCGTGGCGTAAAATGGAGGCATATAAGCGACCATCCCCCAGCAAATAATGAAGCAAAGGAATTTTCAATGTCAAATCACGAAACTCTCCCTTTTTACGCAAACTGGGAAGTTCAAATTACTAAATGAAGTACAGGACGACAAAGCTTAGATATCCAAGAACCAACACATACCAAAAATTATATCTCAAAAGTGAATAATCTAACCGGACCGGAAATGGGAATTTGTTATTACTCTAAATATCCAAACATATTTTAGTATATAAGGTAGTAACCAAAAATCACACAAGATAAACTCTCAGAAGTATGGCAGCCCACAGTGTACATTCTGTGATGGGAAAGCGTAAAGCTATGAACATCTGTTTTATGAATGTCAATATGTTATATCTCTCTGGAGTGAGATCTTGTTTTGGTGGGGGGGACCACTTAAATTAAAGTCACCATCAAGTAGATTGTGTATGATTATATCTAATCCAGAGGATACTTTGATTGTAAACTTGATATCTTTATTGGTAAGAAAACGTATATATGTACTTTTGTAAAATGAAGGAAATAAAGCCAAATTTCGTTGGCTTCCTATCTTATTGTAAAAGAATTTACCAATGTGAAAATTATATTGCAAAAAAGTACAACAAGATGATTTCACATCTAAAAAAGTGGTCTTCTTTGTTACCATATGTAAAATAGAGGTATTATTATATATGTATAATAGAATACAGGAATAGAACAACTCAATGTAATTTCATAACAATGTAACGTACGTATCAATGAAGCGCGGCCTAATAAAAAGTGTATAAAAACAAAACAGAGTTACGAACATAGAGTTACATAAACCACACCCACTTTTGCATCACCAATTAACAGTTTTTGTTGAACGTCCATATTTAGTAACTCAACCGAACGTTGGGTTATGGGCAACATAGATTTCTTTTGTTTAACATTGTACATTTATCTGTAACTCAAGGTTAATAAAAATAATTAAAAATTGAGTCACTAAGTTTCACCTTTAGATGATAATGGCAAAGTACACGATTTCAAAACGGCATATATAGCCAGGCGATGGCAGGTTTGATTTGCATATGAATAAATATTCACATTCTGTAGCAAATGATATTTTTACCACTCGCAATTGACTATTTCACCCTCACATATGCATGTTTTCCCAGGCTGTATTTACCACTCACAAAGAATACATTTGACCTCTCGCATATGCCATTTTTGCCACTCACAAATGATACATTTGACCTCTCATATAGGGCACATTTTGCTACTAGCATATGATACATTTTCTAGGTCATACCGGTAAGTTATATTAAGTGTCCTAAGATAAGCATGACTAATTGAAGAATAAAAAGATTGCAAAGTGAATCTCGTGTATGTATATTATATCATGTATGTATTATATCAGTCAAATCTGGTGAATGGTTCTATCCAGCTTCTCCTGTTCAGCCATATTTAGACCTTGGTTGATACACATACTAAAATTCATTGAATGGATAAAATGGATGGTTCCTTGCACTGAAAAAATAAGAATATAACAATTATAAATGATAATTAAGCTGAAATCAACATGCCCTGTTAGAAGTAAATGCCAGTTATAATCCTCTGTCTTTGATATCAAAAACTGAAAATGAATATTGAAATGATTCGTTTAACGTGATATACTTGTTGTTTGAAAAATTACACCGTACTGTGTGAGTGACTCAAATTATTACATTTAAGACAATGTAATTTAGTCAGTTTTACTGTTATCCCAAAAACCTAGTTCTGCAAAACTTTGCAGATCGAATCAATAACATAACAAGTACATCTTTAAAAGAACAATTTTGTTTCAAAAATAAAAATTAAATTAATTTACAGATTTATGAATAGTATTTCAAATTGTGAACTGCTGTATTTGAGGGTTACCAAGTTACAAAATCCATCTGTAAACAGCCGGGAAATGCTTGATTTTGATGATTTTTCGATGTGCCAGAACGAGAACTAAAAATGTGAATTCATTTATTTGAGAGTTAATGTATTTGAAAATCTGAATTCATTTATTTGAGAGTTAATGTATTTGAAAATCTGAATTGATTTATTTGAGAGTTAATGTATTTGAAAATCTGAATTGATTTATTTGAGAGTTAATGTATTTGAAAATCTGAATTGATTTATTTAAGAGTTAATGTATTTGAAAATGTGAATTGATTTATTTGACAGTTAATGTATTTGAAAATGTGAATTGATTTATTTGACAGTTAATGTATTTGAAAATGTGAATTGATTTATTTGAGAGTTAATGTTGTATTTGAAAATGTGAATTGATTTATTTGAGTTAATGTATTTGAAAATGTGAAATGATTTATTTGAGAGTAAATGTTGTATTTGAAAATGTGAATTGATTTATTTGAGAGTTAATGTATTTGAAAATGTGAATTGATTTATTTGAGAGTTAATATTGTGATGTATTTCAAGATGTGAATTGATTTATTTGAGAGTTAATATTGTGATGCCATGGTTTGCACTAGTGTCTCATCAAGACGAGTCCCACTTACAAAATTTTAAGAAATTGAAATTTGACCCTGGATAACTTTATTACAAATTGGACCCCAGCTTGCCTGAAAAACTGGGTCCCTCTTCAATAATTGGAGTCCGGGAAGCAAAATATGGGGTTAACGCAATCCCTGGATGCATTTGAAAATGTGAATTGATTGAGTTAATGTAGTAGTGTTCTATTTTGGTGTGCATTGTACAATTTTACTTGAGAAAATAAATTGTAAATGTTATACTAACGGATGCCAAAAAGCATCAACTGACATCATCCAATTACGGTTGAGTGATTGTATAGATGTAACCTCTTCTGGAGTTAATTTGAAATTAAATATCTGTGAAAAAAACAAAACATACATACATATACATCATATCATTTAAATGTGCTTAATAAATTATTCAAATTCTAGGATACTGTACAGTAGTGTACTGATAAATCAACATTTTGGGGAGTCAGTACAACTGGTCTAATTGTGAGTGTGTTATTTCAATGGATAATTCACTTATAATGTCTTTCATAACATGTAAAACGCAAGGTATACTGTATACACCGAATATAATAAATATTGTAATCTTTTATGTCTGCTGATTGTCCTGATTCTAACTTTAAAAAAAAGAATTTGACAACAAAACAACATATACCTCAAAATTTTCCTTCATTCTACCTGGATTTACACTTTTTGGTATCACTGCACATCCAAGATCAATGCAAAACCTCAGCAATACTTGTGCTGGTGTTTTGTTGTGCTTGCTAGCAATGGACTTCACAACCTGGTCCTTTAACAAATTGGGATCGTCATCTTTAGCCCTGTAATTACATGTAAAATGTAACATACACTAATGGCCTGTCACACATTGTACATTACAAGTATCAAAACAAATAGTCTGTTGGTTTTTTACGTGGCACACTTATTACAAAACAGTTTTGATAACCTTCCTCCCCTTTTGGCTTTGTCTATGCTATGTTTCACTTTAAATTCTATCATTTTTGAATTTATTAATGTTTATGCTTTCTATTTTTGAACAATATAACCTTGTCAGATGTGCTTCTAATAGAACAAATAAAAATATAACTGCAAGCAGTAATCAAGGTGGTTATGGTACAACAATTATAATTAATGAAATCATGACCATATATGAGGAATGTGATATTTTATATATCTTGTGCTAGTTGCAATGTCCTTTCTGCCACAGTTATGCATATTAATTAGGTCACATGACCAAATATGATCATCTGATATGTCGGTAATATCTCTTGTCAAGTGTCTTTAATATAGCACTAGTTGCATGTCCTTATCTGCAACAGTACTTGAGATATATCACATTTATGCATAATAATGAAGTTACATGAACCCATTTAGGTAAATAATACTTCTATACATGGATTTCAACCATGAGATATGTGTGTGCAGGTGCAACCTGACCCCTCAACAAAAAATCACAGGAAGTTACCCCAGAGAAAAGGGCAAACATTGACAATATTTCAAAATTATAATTTCTACTCACCAAGGCCTGTCCAATGAAGCAAATGGACTGTAACACGTGGTAATGATATTTCGTTCAAGACACCAATTAATTAGTTTAGTTCTGGTAAAATATGGATGTACTTCAATCTACGAACATATACATAAAACAAATTGGATGTAAATTAAGACATTAATGAATTAATAATATTTTGAGTTTACTGCATATTATAGCATGTAGGGAGTTGAGCAATGAAGGATCTCCACTCTTGTCTGTTTTGGGTTGTTTTCCAGACATCTCCCAAGGTCCAGTTCATCATTTTCATTTCGTTTTCTACCATCCAATGGCAGGTAGTTTTGGATCATTCTTTCTTTATTTTTCCTCGTGTTCAGTGTAGGGGTACTTTTGAGATGCTTTTTGATTCTTTCATCATCACGTGCCAAATCCAGTGTACCATCTTGCTATGATGTTATCTATGTTTTCTTGTTGGCATCTATTTAGTAGGTCATGGTTAGATATTGTGTTGGACCAGGAAATCCTACAGATTCCTCTCAGATTTTTTGTATGGAAGACAGACAGCTGTTTGATATCTCTCGCTGTCATTCTCCAGTATTCTGAGCCATAGAGGAGGGTATGGATGACACAGGACAGAGTATGAATGACACAGGACAGAGTATGACATGGCACTGGACAGAGTATGCATGGCACTGGACCGGGTATGCATGGCACTGGACCGGGTATGCATGGCACTGGACCGGGTATGCATGGCACTGGACCGGGTATGCATGGCACTGGACCGGGTATGCATGGCACCGGACCGGGTATGCATGGCACCGGACCGGGTATGCATGACACCGGACCGGGTCTGGATGACACCGGACCGGGTCTGGATGACACCGGACCGGGTATGCATGACACCGGACCGGGTATGCATGACACCGGACCGGGTATGCATGACACCGGACCGGGTATGCATGACACCGGACCGGGTATGCATGACACCGGACCGGGTATGCATGACACCGGACCGGGTATGCATGACACCGGACCGGGTATGCATGACACCGGACCGGGTATGCATGACACCGGACCGGGTATGCATGACACCGGACCGGGTATGCATGACACCGGACCGGGTATGCATGACACCGGACCGGGTATGCATGACACCGGACCGGGTATGCATGACACCGGACCGGGTATGCATGACACCGGACCGGGTATGCATGACACCGGACCGGGTATGCATGACACCGGACCGGGTATGCATGACACTGGACCGGGTATGCATGACACTGGACCGGGTATGCATGACACCGGACCGGGTATGCATGACACTGGACCGGGTATGCATGACACTGGACCGGGTATGCATGACACTGGACCGGGTATGCATGACACCGGACCAGACCGGGTATGGATGACACCGGACCAGACCGGGTATGGATGACACCGGACCGGGTATGGATGACACTGGACCGGGTATGGATGACACTGGACCGGGTATGGATGACACTGGACCGGGTATGGATGACACTGGACCGGATATGAATGACACTGGACCGGGTATGGATGACACTGGACCGGGTATGGATGACACTAAACCGGGTATGGATGACACTGGACCGGGTATGGATGACACTGGACCGGGTATGGATAACAGTGGAGCACGTATGGATGACACCGGACCAGGTACACCAGAGAAATGGTTGCTGACAAATGTGCATATGAATACTATAATTGTGTTTTGTCTTTGTAAGCGTGTCCTGGAAAATAAAATAAAACAAACATTGCCACCATTCATCCAATTTGAACTAAATCACACATAAAATGATGTGCATCAATAAACCATGTGTGTTTTAACAAGCAGCCCCTCAAGTGAGGTAGCTCCGATGTTAACAATGCACATTAAAGAATTATACTGAAAAGGATGCAGTAGTTGCCATGGTAATTAAAGACCCTGCAAATGTTTGTTTGTCTCTGTTTGTTGCCTCGACAACCACAGACACAGAGCTTCACAGTTATATTTATATGATGAAGACGAAACAAATCAATTTCTCTAGAAGCAATGTACAATGGGGTCAAGCTGTCAAGCATACTTCGGAACAGAGGTCAAGGGGTCAAGCATACTTGGGAACAGAGGTCAAGGTGTCAAGCATACTTGGGAACAGAGGTCAAGCTGTCAAGCATACTTGGGAACAGAGGTCAAGGTGTCAAGCATACTTGGAAACAGAGGTCAAGCTGTCAAGCATACTTGGGAACAGAGGTCAAGGTATCAAGCATACTTGGGAACAGGGGTCAAGCTGTCAACCGTACTTGGGAACAGAGGTCAAGATGTCAAGCATACTTGGGAACATAGGTCAAGCTGTCAATCATACTTGGGAACAGGGGTCAAGCTGTCAAGAATACTTGGGAACAGAGGTCAAGCTGTCAAGCATACTTGGGAACAGAGGTCAAGCTGTCAAGCATACTTGGAAACAGAGGTCAAGGTCAAGCATACTTGGGAACAGAGGGCAAGGTGTCAAGCATACTTGGAAACAGAGGTCAAGGTGTCAAGCATACTTGGGAACATAGGTCAAGGTGTCAAGCATACTTGGGAATAGAGGTCAAGGTGTCAAGCATACTTGGGAACAGCTGTCAAGCATACATGTACTTGGGAACAGGGTCAAGCTGTCAAGCATACTTCAGAACAGAGGTCAAGGGGTCAAGAATACTTGGGAACATAGGTCAAGCTGTCAATCATACTTGGGAACAGGGGTCAAGCTGTCAAGCATACTTAGGAACAGTTGT